CCAGTTGCCCAACCTCATATGTAATTCCTTTTGTACAGATTCTGAATTTTTTAAGTTAACAAATGCCAAAGCAGAAGGCTAAGTCTAAGACACAATGTTAAATCATGAAGGGAAATAGAATAGATAGATAGATAGATATTCTATGTATTATATGTTATCTGTCAATGACAGATATTAAAATAAACCTGAATAACATTTCAGGTTTTATCTCTGTTATCATTCCACCATCTACTTTCTCCAGCCAAACTTCATGACACTGTAGCCAAAATAGCCCCACTCAAAAATAAAATGCTATCATAAAAAAAGTTTCTTAGATAACCTTATATTTTAGCTGTAAATACATACTTATTTATAAACAACTGTATTTGTAATTAAAAGATGCATTACTTCACAGCTTTGTGTGAATTTTCACATAAATTGCTGTTCTGGGTTTTTATAATAATCATGTAAGTTTGAAATCACAGCCAGTAGATTCACCCTGCTATCTATTCTTCTTTTTTTTTTAATTCAGAGTGGACAGGCAGAGTGGACAGTGAGAGAGAGAGACAGAGAGAAAGGTCTTCCTTTGCTGTTGGCGCACTGCAGCCGGCATACCGTGCTGATCCGAAGCCAGGAGCCAGGTGCTTCTCCTGGTCTCCCATGGGGTGCAGGGCCCAAGCACTTGGGCCATCCTCCACTGCACTCCTTGGCCACAGCAGAGAGCTGGCCTGGAAGAGGGGCAACCGGGACAGAATCCGGCGCCCCGACCAGGACTAGAACCCAGTGTGCCGGCGCCGCTAGGCGGAGGAATAGCCTAGTGAGCCGCGGCCCCAGCCAGCCACTAGATGAATATTAAGAATGTGACCTTGGGGCCGGCGCTCTGGTGTATTTGGTAAAACTACCGCCTGTAGCACCAGCATCTATATGGGCGCCAGTTCGAGTCCCGGCTGCTCCACTTCCAATCCAGATCTCTGCTGTGGCCTGGGAAAGCAGTAGAGGATGGCACAAGTCTATTGGCCCCTGCACCCACATGGGAGACCCAGAAGAAGCTCCTGGCTCCTGGCTCCTGGCTTCAGATAGCTCAGCTCTGGCTGTTGCAGCCATCTGGGGAGTGAACCAGTGTATGGAAGACCTCTCTCTCTCTCTCTCTCTCTCTCTTTCTCTCTCTCTTTCTGCCTCTGCTTCTCTGTAACTCTGGCTTTCAAATAAATTAACTACTTAAAAAGAAAAAAAAAAGTGACCATTGTCACTTTCATCATTTTAATCATAATTCATATTGGAAAGAGGGAGTTAACACTTCAGTTGAGAGCATTATATGGCTTAAGTGATAAAGCCAAGAATGTATCAGGTTTTTGTCACTGAACGTATGATGCTGCAGTTTTCATAGTTTTTCTGCAACCCAAAGTGTTATCATCCATTGTATCTTATATCAGAGTAGAAGAGCTGCACAAATTTTTACAGTGAACAAATGCAAAATTGTTCTAAATATATTGAATATCTATGGTTTAAGATACTTCCTCCTACAGCTCTTCTGATACAGCTACCTCTCTCTTGATCCACACCATTTTAAAACCTGGAGCAGTATAAATATTATTAAGGGCAAAAGCAAATAGAGCAACAGAGAAAGAAAAAATATATAGGAGATTTTCATTAGTTTTTTTTTTTTTTCCTCTCAAGAGTTTTATGTGCCATAGAATATTTTCAATGGAGTCTCCATTCTTTTCTTTTTAAAAAAAGATTTGCTTTATTTATTTGAAAGACAGATATAGCGAGAGGTAGAAACAGTGAGAGAAAGGTCTCCCATCCACTGGTTCAGTTCCCAAATGGCTACAATGACCAGAGCTGAGTGCATCCAAAGCCAGGAGCTAGGTCTCTCACAGCAGTGCAAGGGTCCAAGGACATGGGTCGCTCTCTGCTGCTTTCCCAGGCACACTTATCAGGGAGCTGGATCGGAAGTGGAACAGCCGGAACTCAAACCTGCACCCATATGGGGTGCTGGCACTGTAGGCTGGGGCTTTAATCTGTAGGGCCAGAGTGCTGACCCCTTCATTCATTCTTAAAAGGTATTTGACTCACTTCCACTAGGTGAGGAAGGAGGCCACCACATTTCTTGATTTCTTACTATCTGCCAGGGTACTCCATGTATACACATTAATTCGTGTAGCCCTAGGTCATAAAAGGCACTTTTACAGGAGTTGAACAAGCTTTTGGCTGCTCTGTTTAATATATTAAATCTTCGCATTTATTTAATCGAAATTATCATATTGTGTAAATAAATGAGGGCTATCATAAAAATTAAATATTATGTTGTAACTAATTCATTTTGAAATAATTTAACAGTCATTGGGTTTTACACTAATTGCTTTATGAGATTAATGAATTTACATAGTTATTGAGTCTCATTACTGGGCAGAGTATAGAAAAAAAAGAAGCCAATAAACTAGCCCAAGATTCATTTGGTATGAAGCAAGGGGAGATTAAAGATTCTGCTTCAAAATTGGCAGTTTCTGAGCCGATGCTGCAAACCTCTACTTGCAGCACCAGCAACCAGCATTTCATATGGGTGTTGATTCATGTCCCCGTTGCTTCTCTTCCAATCCAGGTCTCTTCCAGTGACCTGGGGAAGCAGTGCTCCTGGATCTGGGGAGTGAACCATCAGAGGGAAGGCCTCTCTCTCTGTCTCTCCTTCTCTCTGTTTGTAACTCTGCCTCTCTAATAAATAAATAAAAATCTATTTTAAAAAATGACAGTTTTTCTTTGTATAGAAAAGCTGACTGTAAAATCTGTTTCTTTCGTTTCAATACCATAAGATAAATATTTGAAAGTCTTATATATAAATATGTAATATTGAAATTTGACAAAAGTCTTCTATAGAAATTATTTTATTATGTAAATAATTGATATTAACTCAGTCAAGATAGTCTAGATATGAACAGCAAGCACTGGGCAAAGGAATTAAGTACATTGAACTGTTAGGCAAAGAGGAGAATTAGGTATCTGAGAAGAAAGAGAAGCAAAGTAAACATGGGGGAAATGATTGGATTTGATGATGACCAGAAGGTGGGCAACATGAGTAGTTTTGTTAGGTCACACTGAATAATTTGGATTTTATCCTGATTAAATATAATTAATTGTACAGTCAGTGAAATATCCAACCACTGAGAGTTTTCACCAAGAGAGCAAATTTTGTTTACTCATGAGTTCATAAAATTCATCAAGCTCCTTTTTAGGTGATAATCTGTAGAGTACCTTGTATGGACATAAGAGAATTTCCCTGGTGTGCACTGAACTCCAAACCTGAAATGGTGAAAACTTCTTCTCAGGTGATACGGGAGGAGTAGTTGAAATCAGGGTATAGATTGAAGGGAGTGCCGTTTGGATGGCAGTTGAATTTCTCCGGTGTGTGACAAGGAAACAAATCAAAGACTCCTAGAGTTTATTTGGAGCTACTAGAAGAATGGTGGAGCCATAAGCCAGGAAGGCAAAATGGGCATCATGGATGTGGAGGTTGCAGAATGGGAGGCGTTGATGAGGAATCACGCCTTTAAACTTCTTGGATTTGTACAATTGAGTACACAGCTACAAATCTAAATGTGTCTACTGTGTTGGCAGTGAGGATCAGGGGCCGAGTTGCTGAGTGAAATACGAAAGTAATCAATATAAGCAAGGTAAACAAATTACAGCATGCGTGTTAAATTGTGAGATAATTAAGAAAACAGGAATTTGGGGGGCTATTATATTCAGTCTTTCACTATAATTATTGTACGCGTGTGTGGAAAAGATATAAATATATAATTTTCACAATAGAATCTATTGGTAGTGCACTTTTAATAACATGACTAATGAGTATTTTTTGATTAATAAATTGCAATTTATTTCTGTAATTAATTTTAATTTCTTAAGGAAAATAAGAAGCCATCCATTATTCACTAAAATGCCATAGATTGTTGCATAATGAATTTTAAATGGAATAACATGAAAATGACTCTGTAATAATCAAGACTATTTAACAATAATATATAATATTGTTGTATTGAGTTCCTGGTTCCATGATTCAACCTGGTCCCATCTTGACTCCTGCAGCCATTTGGAGAGGGAACAAGCAGGTGGAAGATCTCTGTATGTTTTCAAATAAAATGAAATTTTTTTAAAAAACATACATATGGGGGCCAGCAATGTGGTTCACTTGGTTAATCCTCGGCCTGCGGCACCAGCTTCCCATATGGGAGCCCGGTTCTAGTCCCGGTTGCTCCTCTTCCAGTCTGCTGTGGCCCAGGAGTGCAGTGGAGGATGGCCCAAGTGCTTGGGCCCCTGCACCCACATGGGAGACCAGAGGAGGCACCTGGTTCCTGGCTTCAGATCAGCGCAGTGCTGGCTGTAGTGGCCATTTGGGGAGTGAACCAACGGAAGGAAGACCGTTCTCTCTGTCTCTTTCTCTCACTGTCTATAACTCTGCCTGTCAAATTAAAAAAAAAAATACATATGCATATAGTTACACATGTACACATATACCTTTAATAATGCATGGCTTGGGGTAGGTGTTGTGGGTAAGCAACTAACTGGGGGGCTGGCATGCCACAGAAGAGTACCAATTCAAGCCCTAGCTACTCTGCTGCTGATCCAGCTTCTTGACACTGAACCTGGGAAGTCAGCAGATGATGGTCCAAGTACTTGTTCCCCTGCCGCCCATATGGAGCCCTGAGTGGGATTTCTAGCTCCTGGCTTTGGCCTGGCACAGTCCTGGCTGTTTTAAGTATAAGGAGAATCGGTCAGCAGACGGAATTGCTCTCTCTTTGTCATTCTGTCTTCCAAATAAATAAACATTACCATGTAAAATAATACACAATTTAGCTAATAATATATGTAATTTTGTCATAGAATCAAAAATCATGTTTATAATAAATACAATTATCAATATTATTGCATTATTATTCTCTCTGTAACAGTTACTAATACACAAATGTGGGAAAACAAAATTTAAAAATAAATTTATTTTAGCAAAAACATTTTTGACACTCATACATAGGATTTCCGTAATATGCATTTTCCATGACTTCTTTGAAGGCCCTATCATCTACACACATTTGAATTTAGAACTATACTTACACTGTCATATTATTATGCATTTATTTACTATGCCTTTGGCAAGAAAATGATAATAATATTTATATTCTATAATACTTACCACTATTGTTTTTTTTTCATACTTCTAGGAGGATGACAATAGCCCTATCTCTAGATTAAACCTGGTTGTGTTGCTTGCTTTAGCCAGTAAACTCTGAGCAGAAGCCTGGATAGAATAATTTTGAATTGTGGAATTCTATTCCCCTACTTTAGAAAAAGCTGAGGCCCAAATGATATAAGCTCCTATGGGTTTCATTTCATTTTTGCAGGATGTAAGGTTCGTAGTCCCCAGCTGATTAAACATGGTAGGGATTAGGAAAAGAAATACCCTTTGTTATTTTAAGCCATTGAGATACCAAGAATTTGTTGGTGGAATGTACCTCTTTCTGAGTGACACAGGATCACTGAAGTTTGTCTATAAAATCAATTCTCAGAAAACCACGCAAAGTTTTTCCTGTCTCTTTGACCAAATATTAATTTCTGTTATTCTAATTAGAAACATTGTCGGCTGGTGCCGCGGCTCACTAGGCTAATCCTCCGCCTGCAGCACCAGTACTCCAGATGCTAGTCCCAGTTGGGGCGCCGGTTCTGTCCCAGTTGCTCCTCTTCCAGTCTAGCACTCTGCTGTGGCCCGGGAGTGCAATGCAGGATGACCCAAGTGCTTGGGCCCTGCACCTGCATAGGAGACCAGGAGGAAGCACTTGGCTCCTGGCTTCGGATCAGCGCAGCGCACTGGCCGTAGCAGCCATTTGGGGGGTGAACCAATGGAAGGAAGACCTTTCTGTCTCTCTCTCTCTCTCTCTCTCTCTCTCTCTCTCACTGTTTAACTGTGGTTCTGTGCCGTCTTCTGCAGAACAGGACGGAGTTCACTGTGTTCAGTGCCGTCTTCACTTCCTCGAGGGTCTGTTGGCCATGTGTGCAGACACAGCGATTCAAACTCGTCAATACCGTGGCTGTCTTGTTCCCCAATGTGCAATACTTCCCCATATCCATTAGGATGACCTCTATCAAAAGATGGAAAATGTGTTGATGAGATGTGAAGATATTGAATCCCTTGATTCTCTAAAATAGGAATGCAAACTAGTGCAGCTGCTGTGGAAACCAGTGTGGCAGTCCCTCATATAAATAAATGATGACTTACCATATGGTCCAGTTAAGTCTATTCTGGTATATATATTTGCATACATTTTAGCTTAGCAATAGTATACACAATAATTACCAAGTGGAAACAATGAACTGAGCACCAATAGATAAGTGAATGACCAAATTATAGTATGGACATAAAATGGAATATTATTCAGCCTTAAAAGGAAGAAAATTCTGACTCATATACAATATAAAAACATAAAATTCAGTGTAATTATCCAATAACAAAAGACACAAGTGTTATAATTTGACGTACATGTGTATGTAAAGTAGTCAAATTCAGAGAGACAGAAAGGTGGAGGTAGGAAGGGAACATCCTGTTGTATTGTTGTAAGCTGAAGAGTTTTGCAAACTGGGTGCACAATATTAATACACATAGTACTTTGGAGTTGTGTACCTAAAAATGGCTAAAATGGTAAATTTTATTTAATATGCATTACTTTACAAAAAGAATTAAAAATATCTTCAAAACGTTTCTGCAATGTGACTCTTATGGAAATTCCCTTAGTGACTCTTATGACCTGCTTGAAACTCTACCACTGAATTTTATTTGTTATGACTAAATAACTTTAGAATTCTTTAAGTATAAGATAATATTTTGACTAATAAAATGGAACATAACATACATTTACGAGGACTTTGTTACTATTAGTCTCTTTAATTAATATATTTTCTATACATTTTATCCTAATATACACTATAAGTACAATGTTATGATCCACTATTAATGGTTTAAGTAAAACTTTTAAGCAGTGGATGGTTATTTCAAATATTTGTTTTAAATTTACATTGTCATCCTCTTCAAAAATTCATTTACCTTAAAAATGTACTGAGTTCTTTGTTTTCTCTCACAACTGCATATTCTGATTTTTTTTTTTTTTATCTAGGCAAGGAATGCTGCTTTTGTGCAGTCACAGGCTCTAAATTATCACTTCATCGCATTTGAATTTTTTAAGAGGATAATGTCAACGCATGCTAGAAAATGCACATGGTGTTTAGATTGAAGTGATAAGAAATATACTCCAGGAATGAAACTTCAATATTGACAATATAGAAGAATCTGCAAAACTCTGGCTAAATCACTGATTCTGAAGCGTGTTGAGCTAAGATGTGTGCCACATTGCTGACAGTAATTTTATTCATTTGTGTCCTCAATAGCCATAACACAGACAAAAACGCTAAGTATTCTTATGCTGTCTTATGGACATCACTTTTCTGAACAGAGTGCCTCATTCGTGTGGCATCCAATTGGACCATGTATGTGATTAGCTAATGAAACTGTATCTACTGGTCCAATAAAATTCTACAATTTTGGCTTTCTCACCACTAAAGTAAAACATTGTTAAATGTGATCCAAAAGTGGTATACCCTTTCTTTTTCCCTTGCCTCTTGTTTTGTGCAGGAAACTGAGAGTCTGCAAAAAATTTTTTGGTCCCTATATTTATAAAAAACTAAAGATGTAAATAATAAATTTTCAAGTAGGATAATCCATTAGAAACATTCCTTTACAGGGCTGGCACTACTGCTCGGCTGGTTAAAGCCTTGGCCTGAAGCACGCTGGCATCCCACATGGGCACCTGTTTGAGTCCTGGCTGCTCTGCTTCCTATCCAGCTGCCTGCTAATGTGCCTGGGAAGGCAGTGGAGGATGGAGGGGAGACTGGAAGAAGCTCCTGGCTCCTGGCTTCAGGGAGACTCAGCCCCAGCTCTTGCAGTCATTTGGGGAGTGGACAACTAGATGGAAGACCTCTCTCTCTCTCTCCCTCTCTCTCTCTCTCTCCCCATCTTTCTGTAACTCTTTCAAATAAATAAAAGATAAAAATCTTAAAAAAAAGACACTCCTTTAAATAAACAGATTTGAAGCCAGTTGACTAGTATTTCGAGGTAATTCCAAAAGGTCAATAGAAACTAGAATTAACAATTAAATCATTTTTGTACAAAAAGTTTTGAAATCCATGTATAGGTTTCCCTTAGTATGCATTTTCTATGAACGTTTTAAAGACCACCTCATATGCTTGAGTTTCATAATTTTGTCCAATATAAACCTATCATTTCATTCCATTTTCCATAAACTTTTTTGAAATACTATTGCATATTTTCTGTTCCTTATTAGCTAATTCTCTGTTTTCCATTATCAGATAATTTTGATTGTGGTTAATTTCCATCTAAATCATGTTCACATATACTCTTTTTCTTACTTTTATAGTATAAGCAAGCCCTAAAAGAGAAGTTCATGTTCTTCCCTCTTGAGACGTGGAGCAAAAAAATATTTAAATATCACCCTTTTTAATCATGACCAGTGGCAGAGCAGACACATTTGCTGATATATCCATTGACACCTTTCTTTTGAGTACATCTCCACTGGGGAATAATCCAGAGTCTGAGTCTCTATACCATGACTATGAGTCTACATTAAGATAAACCAATTTGTATCAATATTTCTTAACAGAAAACAAAACCCTGCTCCAGCCTATGCCTTTCACTCTCTCCTAGACAGCCTCACCATCGCCTATTAAGTAGTGTGGGCTTTTTTGATAATGGGAGACTCATAAACTTTGTGGATTCAACAAAACAGTTTTAATCTAATAAAGACAAAAACACATATTTAAGTTTTAAAAATTATGTAAATGTGGCTTGAAATATTTCATTGTATACCAGCAAGCAATACTGCTGCACTGTTTTCTGGTTGCTGTCATTTATTTGTTTGCTTTCAAGTTCCTGCATTACAGGCTGAATTTTCTTAATTAATATTGGATTCCAGGGAGTTTTAGCTAAATCTGGTGCTCAGATAATGGAGAAGAAAGGAAGAGATTCTGGAAATGGACTCTACTCATGTCTACTATATAACTTTTCTTTGCTCCTAACTCCATACCTGACTGTTTCACTACGAAGAAATTCCCTATAAGTTTATGTTTAGGAAGTAGCAGGAAAAAAACAAATGCATGTATTCTAGTGACATTATTGCATTCCTATTTTATTACAACTATTAGGTCCTACAGCCAGCTTCCCACCCCCAACCCACTAGATAGGCATAATATTCAATTTCATTTGTATCAAAGTAGATACACTTCCTCAGCCTTCCACACATCTGATAAATCATTTCCTCTTGCTACCATTACATTTTGCCTCTGAGATGCATGGGTGAAAATCTGACCCAAGTTACATTGTGTCGAGTTATTTCTGATGGATGTGAGTGTCTTTCTGGTCAAGTATTAATATTGGAAGATCCTCTGTGTTCAAGGTGACTGTATTTCCATTTGAAAGACTCCAGTGGTCACTAAAAATTACCATGTGATGGGAGTCATATATGTTGGCTGCCCAGAAGCAAAAATGAAAAATTCCTGGCTGTTTCTGTAATTCTGTGGATCTTGATACTCAAAATCTCACATCCTTGCAACCTTGGACTGCTGGGGCCCATGGGAGACGAAGTGACCGGTGTGATGAATTATACATTCCAACCTTGCAAATTGTCCAGTGGGTTACTTTAAGAAGCTAATTTTGTTTAAAGTTTGTATTCACATGGGATTTATGCTTACCTTGAGACTTCATAAAATATTTTAATTAATAATTTTTTAAAAATATCTTTTATCAAGAACACAAATGAAAATCTAGCAAACAAAAATTATAGAAAAATTAGTATCTTTTATCTATCTGCATCAATCTAAGGTCACAGCATTTGTTGGATTGTTGGAGGATTTGTTGCACTCTGCACAGAAGTGAGTGATCTGCCATTTTATGATCTGGTCAGTCCCTGTGGTTTCTGTGTGTGCACGCATGCATATGTGAAAACTGAACAATGTAAAGTGAAGAGGTTTTGCTCTGTTTATTTGTAATTCTTTACATTGAAACATGAGCCTATAGGTTGATCCTTATAGAAAAGCTGGGTTAAACTGCACTATATAGCTCCAATTTCCCTTAATTTCAAGCCTCATGTTAAGAACGTGGATCTTGTAAGTGTATTTATTCACTCAAATATTAATTTTTTCCTCTGAATAACACTTATGTTATATGATTCACAAGTGTTTTGTCTTTATTCTCCTGAACATTCTCTGAATTATTTATCTCATAGTAGAAATGCAAAAGGCGGGTTTGAAAATTGAAACAAGTTGCCTGGGCCATACAAGAAATAAATGGCAATGTTTTCTCATTGCAAGCTTCATGATCATTTTAATTCACATCATTCCATGAATTAGAATGGTATATATTTTTCTAATCTATGGTTATAATTAAAGGCTAAAAATCTCTTGACTAGCAAGTCAAGGACAAGAAAATGATGATATAAAAATCAATGGGTAGGTCTGAGAGGGAGAATTAACTCAATATTTCTTTTGGTTAATTAATATAAAATATAGGACAATAAAATTGAACACTCAATGGTGCTAATTCTTACTTACCTTTAATGTTTGAGAGCTGATGGGACATCTGTGACATTTTTGCTGGGGTGATTTTAACTAAAGGTGCATTACTTCTCACTGATTGACATGCTTTATCCTTGACAGCTTCAAAACTAAAGGACAAATTCAAGCATTGATTAGCTGTCTCACAATCTCCTTGTCCAATGAAAGTATAAATCACGTTTGCATTTCAAATGAGTTAATGCTAACCAACATGATCATGTAGCAAAAGGGTTTTTAAAATATATAGTCGATGAAAAGTTATTGATATTGAAATACACTTATCCTTAATAACAAGGAGAAAATTCTAATAATATTATTACATTTAAACAAGCAACCTAAAGAAGATAAGTAATGAATATCTCTCAGCTCATAAAAATCGAAGAATGTCTGGGTAAATGAAGTCGTTAGCCTTAGCAAACTATAGAACAAATGACTGAGAAGAGAAAATAAAATTTTATCTTAGATTTAATATTTCATTTTAAGATGAATTTCATATTTTCAAATGGGAAATTGACTTTATGTATTATTAAGATAATTTGCTTCTTTAAGAAGGAATGTAAGCAAGAACTATGTAAAATTATATGAAAAGTCATGAACTTTGTATGCCAGTCATTAAAAGAATAGTTTCTGATTCAAATCCATTAAATTTGCTTTTTCATTAATGTGTGATAATAAAAACATTAAAAATGTCATTGACTTTCTAATTTTTTGCACTGGTGTGGTCTCTGTGGGGCAATGGGTTAAGCTGCCCCTAGGGGTGCCCACATCCCAAATTCATGTGCTGTCTTCAGTCCCTGTTCTGCTTCTGATACAGCTTCCTGCTGCTGCACAACCCAGGAGGCAGAAGGTTATGGCTCAAATGCTTGGGTCCCTGCCACCCTGATAGGAGATGCAGATAGAGTGCCTGGCTCCTGGTTTCACCTGACCTAGCCCCGAATGCTGTGGACATTTGGTGGTGTGAGTCAGTAAATGGATGACCTCTCTCTCTCTCTCTCTTTCTATTTCTTTCTCTGTGTGTGTGTGTGCATATGTGTGTCCATCTTTGTCACTCTGCTTTTCAAAAGAAACCTATTTGTTTTTTCCTTCTGGGTTATGTTTATTTTTCCCCTATAAAACATGGACATGTGATAATTATGTGAGCCTTGCCAGAATTTGAGCAACTTAATTTTATAGATTCCTATTAACCATGGCTTAGGTTACATTAATTACAGCAATCCGTTTTCATGAGCTTCTTTATAAGAATGAATATCTGTTCTTTATTTGATCATTCCATGAAATCTTAATTTGGATCCACAAAAAGCACGATCAAGGAATGAGAATCCTTGTAGAAGTTGCTTATGAAGGAACTTTTCTGTAATGAACCTAGTAAGATAGTATGGGAAGTAAGACTGGAAAAAATACAAACAGGAGGGCAAATTGTAAATCCCTTTTACAATCTGATTTCAATGGGAGATACAGATGCAGCTCAGCAGCATAAATGATGTCTCAAGATATAGCCCGACTTCAAACAAGATATCTGGGTTTTCATAACCCTTTGCCATTTGGGGATGAGCAGATACAGTGAAAGATTAAACCGCACGCAAGTTCATCTCTCTGTGCATAAAAGTGGGGCAGATCTAGTAACTCACAGCCACTCTTTAAAAGAATAGTGTGAATTCAGATTCAGTGTGGAGCAGAAGTAGGATTGAAGATGTAGAAACTATGGAAGTACTCCAAGGGGATCAGGATGGAGAATCAGCAGCATCAAGCACATACGTTGTCCAAGTTCAAAAATAGTGTATATTATTGCCACGTGCTCAAACACTACAGACAGTCCAATGACGCTGGAAATATAGTTCGCTTGCTGGATCCAGTCTCTGGTGTGGTCTATTGGAGGAAACCTAGACAATCTTTGGATTTTATTCTGTTATGGTGTATATAGTGTGACACCTTGGAGTCAGAGATCCTGTGAGAGACAGATAGACAGACAGATAATAGATATTTGTATGTAGGTGAATTCTGGAATGGTGGATATATTATAAAGATGGGATTTTATGCAGTTGCGGGAGCTAATTTAATAGATTATATATACACTCTTACTTTGCATTTGAAGTTAGACCTCAGTCAATAGAGCATAGAGTAGAGGAGCAAAGATTGGACAGTAGGGCCCAGAAATTGAAACTCCTAAGAATGACCTGGAGCCCCTTGTGATTTTTCACTGCCTTCAAAGCTGCAACTCCAAGTATGCATAATCTGCATGCACAGACTGGCTCCCTTTAACATGAAGCTACCCTGGATCTAGATTGGATGATGCCTACTCTCCATAATCTACGACACATTCCAGAGAGCAGATTGAGAATGAGGAGCGTGTGTTCTTGTCGGCTCTGAAACACGTGGAACTTGTGAAGTAAGTGTGAACTTCTATGAATGTTAAAATGAGAACAATCAAGAGGTAATAACAAACACATGTTGAATTTAATTTACGTAACGAATTATCTTTAGTCCATTTAAATCTATTAGAAGAAAAATATTAAGAGCTTTAAGATTAATAGATAAAAATAGTATATAAATTTCCAACTTGTAAGAAGTCCTCATAGAAATATACATTTTCTTTGGCCCCAAAGTAATTATTTTATGAATGCACACAAGATTCCTTACTTACCTAACGGAATGAAATTAAGTGAAAGTATTTTAAAACATTTAAAGGTTGATTGTTCCTTACGAAGCGGAATGCATGCTATTATGTCTAAATAGTATAATGCAGTCTTTTCAGCCTACAGTTTTCTGATAAAATAAGAATTACCTTGAGTTTCAATATAATACACTTTATCAAACTTTGTTATTTATGCATTCTTCACTGCTAGTGCACCAAAGCTGTAGATTGTGTGGCAGTTCACACATCTGTCTGCTTATGAAGTGTGTATAAATTTAAACCTCACAAAGGAAATAAAAGAAACAATAATTTAAAAACCAAAATTTGCATTATATAAGGGCTTGTGTAAGACATATGAATGCTTCAGTAAGAAACTACACTTAGGGAATTTTGAACTCTGTTCGCTTAACATGCTTTGTAAATGTCACATACCATTGGAGATGTGACAGTGAATAAAATGATCAAGTAGTATAAATGAAAAATATCAGCAGTAGTAAGTAACCAATCTGGAATACCAGATGGAGAATTAACGGCAATTCAATTATCTATATTAAAATGACTCCTAGGTCCAATTGAAAAAGATACAATATAAAAAAAAAAAAAAAACAAAAAAAACACAGAAATCGAACATATGTAGCTGGTAAAAAAAAAGCTTTGTCAATGCATAGTGAGTAATTATTGTACATAAAGTATTTTTTTGTCATGGAAGATTTTTTGTAAGTATATTTCTGATCACATTGTAGTGTATTTTAAGAAGATATCACACTGTTTTGGTGAATTTGTGGTTCTTTATAATGCAAACAGATTTTAATTTAAATGGATTTTAGAACCAAAAAGATACTTTAGGATATGATGAATATTGTTGCTACACATACTCCATTTGAATGTTGTAATTACTAAACGGTATTAAAAATAAAATTCCGCAGCTCACTAGGCTAATCCTCCGCCTTGCGGCGCCGGCACACCGGGTTCTAGTCCCGGGCGGGGCGCCAGATTCTGTCCCGGTTGCCCCTCTTCCAGGCCAGCTCTCTGCTGTGGCCAGGGAGTGCAGTGGAGGATGGCCCAAGTACTTGGGCCATGCACCCGCATGGGAGACCAGGAGAAGCACCTGGCTCCTGCACGGTGCGCCGGCCGCAGTGCGGCGGACATTGGAGGGTGAACCAACGGCAAAAGGAAAACCTTTCTGTCTCTGTCTCTCACTGTCCACTCTGCCTGTCAAAAAATAAATAAATTAATTAATTAATTAATAAAATTGATGGGAAAAGCAGAAAATCTGTACAAATATGACAAGAAACATTTGGAATCACAGTAATCAGAAAACTTACCATTAAGCAGCAATTTACATGCGTTCATTCCATATAGTGCAGATGAGAATTAATGGAATTGATAGTGTCTAACTGTAATGTGGAACGTGGGAAAGCTAATACCAGAGTAGCATATAGCTTCTGCGAAAGTGGATTATAAGACCATATTCCAGCGCAGTTTGGTTGTAACGATCATATTTTAACATGAACGTTTATTGGATCAGCAATTCCAATTCTGGGAAGCTATCTGTCAGAGTGCACTTAATTGCCCACAGTGACTTACACTCAGCTGTGTTCTATGTCACATTTTAGAGTGGAGAAATTTCTTGTAGTGGTGAATGCTTTAAAATAAAATCTAACTAAAAGTAACACTTACCAAGGAATGGGGATATTTTATATATATATATATATATATATATATACACACACACACACACACACACACTTATAAACAGCAAAGGCAGTTTTATACTCACTGTGTCTAAAAGTCATGACATTTCTCATTTCCAAAATGTGCTGGGGATATTAACAAATAGGGTCATTGTGGAAACATTAAGTTATACACAACATTGTAAATAGAAACATAGCATCAAAGATACTCATATTTCGAATATTATTGAGGTCATTATTCTGATTATCAGCAATTTCTGAGTATTTATACAGGTGATTGAGTTGAAGTTCATAGACATGCATTTTTTCTTTGTATTCTAGTTTTCTTTAAGATTTATTTATTTATATGAAAGCCAGAGTTACAAAAAGTCAGAGAGAGAGATTGAGAGAGAGAGGTCTTCTATCCATTGGTGCACTCCTCAAATGGCTGCAATGGCCAGAGCTGAGCTGATTCGAGCCAGTCACCAGGAGCTTCTTCCGAGTCTCCTATGTGGTGCAGGGGCTTGAGCACTTGGGCCATCTTCTACTGCTTTCCCAGGCCATAGCAGAGATCTGGGTCAGAAGTGGAGCAGCCAGGTCTCAAACCAGCACCTATATGGGATGCTGTCAGTGGCAGTGCAGGCAGTGGTTTTACCACTATACAACAGCACCAGCCCCTGGATTTTTAAAATTTTTGATGACAATTTTAAATTTTGATGATGTATTTTGATATATGTAATGAGGTGATTATCACTGTGAAGCTCCTTTGGATACTCAGTTCCTCATGTATTCCATGTGAATCTGA